CCGCTCCGGGCTTCATAGGCGAAGGCCAGCCTCTCCGTAGAGGCTGGTCAGCACCAGCAGGGAAATGGGAAATGGTTGCCTCCCCCAGGCTCGACAGCCAACCAAGCCGGCCAAAGTGCTGTTCTGTACCATAAAAGCTGGGGGGAAGGGCGAGGAAAGGGGGACATGTGTGGCTACAGTGTTTGTCTTTCCTTTCCCAAACCGCTGCCAGGCCTGCTGAGGCCCAGCTTTCCGGGAGGCGGCCGTACATCTGCTTGCCAGTGGGAAACAGGAGATCGGCCCCTTTTGCCACTCTGCTTAGGCACACAGCTTTTGCTTTCCGTATTAAACTGTCATAACCTGCACCCCACAAGTCTCCTCACCGTCCTTCCATCTTCCCTGCATCCCACAGGAGCAGGGAAGGAGCACCGCGCTCAGCGGGGTGCGGGCTTGGCTGTTCGCCGGGGCCAGCCCACAGCACGGGAATAAGTCTCTTGCTGCCGTCAGCTGAACAGGTTGCCTAAGTGTCAGCAGACTTGCCTGGTCTTGAACACTCGGGGCTCAAAATTGGTTGCTGTATGGTAGGGTTCTTGCTTTTCTTTTTAATCTAATCTCAGTTAAATTAACTGGGTTTTTCAGCTGTATCAAACTCACGTAATTTTGGTTTCCAGTTTTTCTATTTAGCCACTAGGAAATGTTGTGCTTCTCTCATGAATGTCTAATGAATCCCTTTTCATGTTGCTGTATAGCATTTAATTATGATTGCTTTCTTTTCCCAAGAGGTGGTTGCTTCAATTATTGCAAAAGCTGGGAGGAATTAAGGTGGTACAGGCAAACATAGCATAATAATTTCTGTCTTTCACATATTTGGGTTTGCAGCCTATATGAGTTTCTTTAATTTTGCCCATTTTAGGCAGTTAGGTAAAGGGTATTTATAATACAAAGACAACTTTATATATGTAACTTCATATAGATAATCGTTCAAATATTGCTGTTATGAAAGGCTTCTGACTGGTAGGTAACAATTTCAATATATGGTTTTAAAGAAGTAGTCTTGGCTTGGTTGACATTTCAACACAGCCAAATATGCATGAGTATTGCAAGTAGGATAGTAACGTAGATTGTTAGGACGAAAAAAAAATCTGTAAAGTACCTGCAGCAGTTTCCATGAAATCATTGTTTTCCTCTCAGAAAATAAACATTCTTCAACTCTGAAAAGTTAAGGAGAATGGATAGTGTTTTGATTTCATTTACAACGTGACGACAATTTAGGCTTCCAGCACTAAATACTCATTTTTTGAGGGGGGAAGAAAAGAGTGATTGCTATCATATATTGTCCATTATATTACAAATAGAAATAGAAAAATTATATCAAAAATAGGTATTATAATGGTGAAAAAAGTTCTCTTCCTACTTTTTCCCTCAGGTTGTGTTGTAGGTTGGTTGGTTGGTTTGGTTTGGTTTTGTTGTTGGGGTTTTTTTTGGTTTTTTCTTGGTTTTTTTTTAAACAGACATTGCAGAGGGGTGAGGCTTGTTGTTGTATACTTAAAGCAGACTACTGTTTGTGGGTTTTTTCCCAAAACTGGAATAGATTTTGGCCTTTGCATTAGTAAGTACTTGCATTCAAACAATATCTGTATTATGCACTGTGGAGCGCCAAATGTAAGTTTACAGCTTAAGCACGATGTAGAACTGGAGATGTCACATGGATCTCTGAAGTAAGTCATGGGGGTTTGACAATTGCCTATGGCAAAAATGGCATAGGCAGTGCTTTTGAGAATGAAGGAAGGGGAATTCTGTATTAGAATCACAACTAGCTGCCATTACAATATTTTCTGTTACTTTTAATATTGTTATCTCCAGTTTTTGTAGTAGCTGGGTAGAGAAATAATAAATCCTTAGTAGCTGTAAAGCATCTTAGACTTTGTTTCCCTTCCTCTCCATTTGAAAAGGTATGTGTTTATTGATGGCAGGCACTGTGCACAGTTAATGGCATAATTTTCAAATTGCCATCACAGTTTATAGGCTGCCTTTGCTTTTTTCTTGCTACATATCCAGCAACTTTGTATGCTTGGAAATGCTGCTTGAGGCTGTGGAGCTAGGTGTGAAGCACCACTTCGGCTGCCCCAGGTATGAAGGCTGTGGGAGGAGAGAACACAGAGTTGGAGAGCTCTAGAGTACAGTCGACTCACTATTTCACGAGGCTTTTGAGTTGTGGTCCATGATTTCAGTATACCTATAAACACACTTTGATAATATGGAACAGAAAGAAGAGAGTGCTACAGCAGGTTTCAATGCCGTAGAGTTAATAGATAGGAGAAAACTATTTTGCCACAGGGCATAAAGGATAATGATGATACCTACTGTGTTTGGGAAGTTATACTGAAAAACGTAGGCCAGTGCTCTTTTCTTCTGCTGTCTTGGAATTTGTCAAATTTCTGTTTTATTTTATGTTCTTACAACTGAACAAAAAGATGTAGGATATTGCCCAACTGTTGATCTGGGATTACAATAGGAAGGTGGAGTAGTGGCTTGACAGTGGTCTTCTTCCTGCCACCCCTGTATTGTTCCAGGGGTTCCATGGTTTCCTGCTGCAGGGAGGTAACCCAGCTGCTTTCTTTAAGGCAACATGGAGCTCTTTCCTTTGTGCTCTGTTTTGATGAGCTACCTGAATTTTCTGAGGAATACATTAAATTATGGAGTGAATTTATCTATTTATTTGGTTTTAGTAATCTGAAGCCCTCTGCAATAGGGGAGAGACATTTCGCTTTTCAGATGACACTAACCTCACTGAATTTGAGTTGCCTATTACAAAAATGGCATTAGCAGAGCCTGTCAAAAAGAAGGAAGATTCCTTAGTGGAAAACACTCTTTCACTGTTGGGATTCCTACTCCTAGCTCCTGTTACAATTAATTAGTTCCTCCACTCTCCCGAAAACCACACAGGCAGTTTTAAAATTGCCAGTGTTTTGAAAAATCTGTAACACTAAAGTTGAAAATTAGTAAAGAAACTGAAAGCTGCCAAAACTGAGGCATCCTTTTGTTTTCTTTTAATTGAACTTCAAAATGTTGGTCAAAGCTGCTGTTATGTGAACAATGCTTCTTTTGTTTAAAGACAATTTAAAAAATCTGTACAAAATAAGAAATACAGGCCCTGATTTTTCCAGTTATGCAGAGAAGCTGATGTTGAGCAGCAAGATAGAAGCTAACAGCCTTTGTGCTCTGTATCTAAGGAGGTGTGAGAAGCAGAAGGAAAACAGGAGGGTCAGCTGCCGCAAGTTAAAGCTTTTTTGGCGCGTCTCCAAAAACTTCTGCCTATATCCAGTGGCCATGGTGAATAGCACATGTAGATCAGTCATCTGGGGGATGTATATTAGCACTTCAGCTAATTGCCAAATTACATTCATTTTTTAACTATATGGTTTTTAACTGGTATTTTTTTCTCAGCTGTTGCTCCAGGCGCATGTACGGACCATGCATATACGTGGTTTGAATACATTATCAACAGTGAAAACTTAGCAGGTTGTCCACCAAGATCTCAAGTCCTGAAAAGTCTGATGATCCAGTTCTTTGGCAGCCTAAGCCAATTTAGCTGCTGGCTTCTCGGGCTTGCCCTGCTGCCTCCCTTGCCCCGTGTTCAGACCGTGAGCTTGTCTGACCTGACACTGAACCTGTTCGGAGCACAACGCTGGCAGGAAGCGGTGCACTTTGCCTGAGATAGTTTCTTGATGATTTAGCATGCTGAAGTAGTTCAAAGCTGATGCAAAGACAAGAGTAGAAACACATGGCCAAGCCTGAGGGGAACCGAATGGGGATGTAGCTGCCAGTGTTTAGGTTAGCTCAGGATGCCCAGAACTCAAAGCTGGAGGAGATAGGTAAGATAGAATAGGATAATATCAAAAAGAGCTTACTGCCCTCAGGTCAGTATTGATTAAGTCTGAGGTCCACCAGCAGAAATCTGGAGTTTTCCTCTTCTGCTGGAGAAAGGTGTGAAAACGGTGCTGGTTCCAGAGATGTCCTCTTAACTTCAGAGTAGAATCCATGGGGGTGGATTGTATAGTTTGATGCTGAGTGTAGTTTTCTTTACTAGGGTAAATTACCTGTACTGCAAAACAATTCCTGCTGTTCTGGAAATTACTTCCCATTTTTTGTGAATCTGGATGTGTTGCCCTTACAGCTCTGTGGTGGTGACTGGCTGCTTTAAGAGAAATTTGGTATTTTGTTTTCTGGCATGTTTGAGATTAAAGCCGAACTAAAAATAGAAAATTGATGAGAATGTGCCACTGCCCCCCCAAAAATACTTTTTTCATGTTTATTGAAAGGTGAAGTAATTTTGTTTCCCTCTTGTCTTAGAAATTATGCATGTTGTTGTTGGAAAAATTTACTGATGAAAACTAGAATCTGTTATGGGGAAAACTGCATTTATATAATGGCAGTTTCATTTTCTAAAGATCGCATACTAAAGAGCTTGAAACAGAAAAATGCATTAACATTTGTAATAGTTTGGCTCAATAACAGTGATTCTGTTTTGTAAAACTGGAAAAATGGAAACTGAAGCAAGGTTGTAACTTTCAGTAGTCAGTGAAAGGGAGAGTGATATATTTTGAGTCATGGAGATATGTTGGTATTCTAATATAATTATTGTACGAAAAGAAATGTATTTATCAGCCTCTGAATTCTCAGTTTCTAATATTCTAGGTATGTGTAAGTATTCAAGTAAACTCAGTACATTTATCCGCAGTGTAATTAATTATATTTTGTTATTTCATTCCTCTTGTTAAAGTAATGAGTTTGTAAAGCACGGAATTTTTGAGCCTGTTATCTGAGCAATTTGAAGTATTATTAGAAGATAATGTTTTTTCAAACAACATCTGTGAAATTACTTATTTTTCATTTGTGTAAATAGTTCAGTTTTAAATAGCAACACTGTAGTAACAGTTAACACTACAGATATGAAAAAGATTTTTCAGGAAATTCTGAATTACACTTGACCCTTCTTCGCTTAACATTATTTACTGCAGGATTTGAACAAGCGTTTGTCCCTGCCTGCTGACATCAGGATACCTGATGGCTATCTTGAAAAGCTGCAAATTAACAGCCCACCGTTTGATCAGCCAATGAGTCGACGTTCTCGTAGAGCATCACTGGTAAGTGTAATGCATCTGCCATGCTAAACCAACCTCTCAGTTCTTCAGGTTCTGAATCAGTGTATACACTGAAATTCAGGACATAAAAGCCAAGATGTAAATACAGTTGAATTTCAGTGTGTACCTGTCAAAATCCATTGAAGAATTTCACCCTTTCTTTCATTTTTCTTCTGCAAACTTGGCCCTGTCATTTCCCAGTGAAGGTCTTGACCCATTGAAATCAGTGGCTAAACTGAACTGCCAAACTGCGTACTAAATTCTGCTTTTTAGAGCAGGGATGACCTGTTTGAGCAAATAGACTGTGTAGTCCTAGGTCAAGGCTTGGGCTCTCATGTGACATAGTAGGAAGGCCCTAAAGCAGCATAATATGAAGGCAAGTCCTCCTGTTTTGTCTGTATTTGATAACAAATTTTCTTTCTCAGAATTGCTGTTGAGATGATAGATATTTTATTTTTCTTTAAAAAGCCTATGTGGATTCCTAAAAATATGAATTAATATATTCAGATATATCTGCTTAGATTATTGGGTTATGTTAAAAATAAGTCTTTCCATGGAGATGTCAGAATGAGGATTCCTATACTGTAATTAGAGTACAAATGCTAGAAATCCTGGACACTCATATAAATTATGCACATCCATGAAATAGTACAAAACATTTTTTTTCTTATTTTTACAAAAATGATTAAGTTTCAATTATAATTTGACCTATGAGTTTTCTTGGTGTTAATCAAGGTCTTAAAGAGCTGCTAGACCATTTACTAACTTCCTGAGCAAATTCATTGGCAAGAAATTCTTTGCACAGAAAAAATAGATAGGTTTATAGGTTTGTTCTTTTTATGGGTTTAATGGCTTATTTGCTGAAAAATAAATATGAAAGTACATGTGGTGAATTAGTTTTATTAACTGTGAAATAACTTTATTTTATTCTTTGTGAATTAATAATGTCTATAACAAAGCAATAGTGTGGTTTTATCATGTATTTTTCCCCTGAAAAATTACAATTTAGTGTGCTAGACTAAAGCTCTGATCTGCATGTGGCCTTTTACAAGAACAGTATTAAAAGAAGAGAAGATTGGATTAAAGCACTGGAAGTAATAATAATGTAGCAAGCTTCAATATTTGTGCCAGAATTTTGTAGCTCATTAACCACTTAATTACTGACACAGCATTGAACTGAGGAATAGACTTCCCCACACCTTGTCTTTTCAGATGCTGGTGAAGCACCTTTTCAGTGTCAGAATAGAGTATTTGGGGGCTGGGGGCGATTTTCCTGTGTATGAATTCCCTTGCTCATTTGATGGTGAGCCCTGAGAGAACCTGAAGTTCTCTCCTCTTTACCTTCTAGAAGACAGACAGAAAAACAGTGCCCTCTAATGAATATGGTGTGTGTATGGAACCAGCTTTCTGTCACAAGGTTGTTTTGTTTTGCCTTTTAAAAATGCTTTTAGGGCTTGTAAGTCTGAAATTAAACCTACCAGCAGTGCTGTGGTATGCAGACATGCATTTGCTGCGTTGTCCTTTCATGATTTCAAACTAACATTTAAAAAAAATTAATTCAAAGACTTATTCTAAGATTTGTCATTGAAATCTTGCTAGCAGACTGTTAATTACAATATATGAATATTGTGATCTCCTTCAAAGGCATGCCTCTTTTCAAGGCTTAGTAGGAATCAAAGGAAAAAGGCTATGAAAAGTATCAAGTGAGGACTTGTTATACTTTGTCTGGTGTTTTTCTTTGAAACACAAGAAAAAAAATAGCTTTTACAATAGTTGTATTTTGTGAATACATGTACAGTATTGCATGCACAGTAGCATAGGTTTAACTCTTATGCACCAGCCATTAGAAGAGACCATAAATACGGTGCATCAGTGTTTCTGTGTAAGTCAAGATAGATAGATGTGTACTGCAAAACAAAATAAAATAGTTCAGAAATTATTTTGAAGGAAAAATGAAATTGATCTTGGTGAGGAATGTAAAAATCAGTTTTTCTTACAGGTGGTAGACAAACAAAACGTGGTTTAAAAATTAAACACGTTGAAAGGCAGGTCTTGAAAAATATCTGTCCTGTGTATGTAGGAAATACTATATGATTTTATTGTCTAAAGAAGATATTATTAGTCTTGATGAACACCATTGAGAGGTTTCTTAGAAATCACACTTTTAAGTTGTACTCCAGGCTGTCTGGCAATAACAAGGCCAGTGGCTACCAGTTCTCCTTTAGTTTCTCCTATAAACTAAGGAGCCTATCTTTTTAATTCTAATACCATCTGATACTCACTTCAAGATATGTTTGAGTAGGTCAAAATGCACTTTGGAAACATAATATTTATTTTACTAACATTGTACCTATATCAGTGGTATGTTTGTAATCTCACTAGAGCTACAAAGGTTGTCATATATCAACTCTACTTGTATTTTGTGTTAAACAGCTTGGCTTTAAGAAGCTCCTAAATATGCTTAATGCTAAAGTATCCTTATGCAGTTTTAAAACACTTCTATTCTGACACTAATTTAATAAAGCAGAAATACTATGTTAACATAATTATGTACCCGTTTTTTCTTAGGTACGTCAAATATGTTTATAGACAAGATCTTATACTTACTTCACATCTATTTTCATGCATATGTTCTGAAAATTAAGTATTAATCCAACTTTTCTTAGTATACCTTCATATTATATTGTTGTCAAATCTTAATACAGTCAGCAGTATTTATGTTACACTGTGTCAACATGAAATAATATACAACTTCAATATCCATCGGATTTTAGGAGCAAATCAGTGTATTCTGACTTGTGGACATAGGTGCTGAAGCCAGTCGAGGGTCAAAATATTGTTCCTTAGAAAGAAATAGCAAGTGGAGAGCTATGTTTGAAAGTGGAAGGAGGAGGAGGTGATGCTAGGGAGAAAACATGACTTTTTTGACTTGGTAAACGTTTAGTTGTTAGTAAAGCAAAACCCCATGAAGCCTATGGATTTGGAAGGTTGACAGGGTACAGGCTTATATGCACTTTGTAAATTGGTTTAAAAATTCATATGTTTTATGTGTCTACTTTTATCATTCTTTACACTGTAAGAACAATATAAAGCTTTGGTATAATTGACATGGTCTTACACAAAAATAGCTGTAAGAGATAACCGTATTAAACATAAGAGTAGCAGTGGATTTGAACAGGAAAAGAGTAATGATGTTAGTTTTCAGAAAAAGGTGCTATATTGGCAGGAAAACCCTCCTGGCTTACATTACAGAGCTAAGTTGGTGACAAAGAAGATGAATGCATACAAGTAAAATACATAAAGACTTGGAAGTTATGAGCCATGAAATGTAAATTGTTGAGACAAAGCTGAAGCTTGTGGAGGTATTATGCTTAGGGATTTTACTGACAGAGTTTTAAACTGAAAAGCATTGAGAGGACAAAATGGGAGAGGAAACCTGGAGCTATGATCTTGAATGTAGCAAATAAGTAATTTTGAAAGAAGCAGCAGCCTGTGGTTATGCTGAGCAAGAGAAAGGATAGAATAGTTTGAGATGACTTCTGTGCTTTAAGCTATAGCGACCTCATTAGTAATAATCCGATCAGAAAGTGGAGAAGAGCTAAGTGGGAAGTAGGGTAAAGTAGAATTTTGGTCTCAGTGTAACTCTGTATATAGTCCTTCCAGGATACACAGTAGACTGGCCCAGCAGGCTGAGCATTAGGTTTGGATGCTGGACACACTTATATTATAATATGCTAAATTATTTTTAAAATAGCAGAATTGTGTGGTGTTTGGTTAAGTACTATCAGGTATTTTTCTGAAACAAAGTTTAGCTTGCTCATTAAATGATGTATAAATAAAGCATTTAGTTTTAGTGATCAATTTTCCATTTCTTTTCATTGCAGTCTGAAATTGGATTTGGAAAAATGGAAACCTATATCAAGTTAGAAAAGCTTGGAGAGGTATGTTTTGAAATGATTACTACCTTGATGACAATGTCTTACGTAAAATTTTACATAAATGTTAACTGAAAATCTTCATATCCCGCAAAATATCCATTGACTTTACCTTTTCAGTAAATGAAACATTCAAAATGTGTAGGAATGTCACAACCACAGAAATGTTCTGTACTTATATAATAAAGGGGAAAGAAAAAAGAAAGCCATCACTGAGATGGGCAAGAGCAAGACTCCGTTGGCAAATGATCTGTGACTGGCTTTGTAGGCTGGTTTTGCATGCAGATAGACAAAATTATTCTGTCGATAATAAAGCTGGTTAAGTCCAGTGTCCTCCTGCCGTGAGTTAGGTGTTGGGGAACTGATGCTGGACAAGGAGCCAGCGCTTGCTGGGCGCAGGCATTAGCTATGCATGTTCTGGTAGAAAAGCCTGCACGCCTGATTTGGGCAGCCAGTCAGGTGCAGCCAAGTGAAGTACGTAGCACTGTTTACCTTGCCTTCTGGGAGGGCAGCAGTATGGCTTTCTACCTTCACGTAGCCTCAGACTTCCAGAGAAACAGTAGAATTCAGGAGGGGCCAGGTGTCAGTCCTGTCTTATTGGATTGAGGTTGGCCAACAGGATCAAAAATGGAAAAGGAGCACTGGAATGGGATGCACTGACCATTACAGAAGGAAGCAGGGCTGGTCACCATCTCTGCTGTGAATATTGCAGCCGGTCCTACATTTGCAATGTTTTAATTTCCAAATGCATTTATTTTTTATTTTGCCTCTAGTACTTGTTAGATGAATCATGAGACATAACACAGCATTGTGTATCTTTGGAGGAATGTTAGTCTAGTAGCTATCAAGTCATAGTTGGGGGTGTATATTATCTCATTTGCTTGCAAAGTATAGTGGACAACACCAGATATGTAGAATCATAGAGTCATTCAGGTTGAAAAAGACCTTTAACATCATTGAGTCCAAGTGTTAACCTAGCACTTCCAAGTCCACCACTAAACCATGTCCCTAAGTGATATATCTACACGTTTTTTAAATACCTACAGGGATGGTGACTCAACTGCTTCTCTGGGCAGGCTGTTCCAATGCTTGACAACTGTTTTGGTAAAAGAAATTTTTCCTAATAGCTAATCTAAGCCTCTCCTGGTGCAATTTGAGGCCATTTCCTCTTGCCCTATCACTTGTTACTTGGGTGGAGAGACCAACACCCATGTGGCTACAGTCTCCTTTCAGGTAGTTGTAAAGAGTGATAAGGTCTCCCCTGACCCTCCTTTTCTCCAGGCTAAACAACCCCTGTTCCCACAGCTGCTCCTCACAGGACTTGTTCTCTAGATCCATCACCAGCTTCATTGTCCTCCTTTGGACACGCTCCAGTACCTCGATGTCTTTCTTGTAGTGAGGGGCCCAAAACTAAACACAGTATTTGAGATGTGGCCTTACCCGTGCTGAGTACAGGGGCACAGTCACTTCCGTAACCCTGCTGGCCACGCTATTTTTCATACAAGCCAGGGTGCTGTTGGCTTTCTTGGCCACCTGGGCACACTGCCAGCTCATACTCAGCCGGCTGTTGACCAACACCCCCGGGTCCTTTCCTGCCGGGCAGCTTTCCAGCCACTCTGCCCCAAGCCTGGAGCACTGTATGAGGTTGTTGTGACCCAAGTGCAGGACCCAGCACTCGGCCTTGTTGAACCTCATACCATTGGCCTCGACCCATCGATCCAGCCTGGTGAGATCCCTCTGCAGAGCCTTGCAGTGCTGTACTATAACCTAGGGCAGTTTCTGTAACTTTGTTGCTTCCTCCATTTATTGGGATTAGTTGTACCTGTTTGCTGTTTTGTTAGAATTTCTTGTCGTTGTAACATGCCTTGAGAGTTTTGAATCTCTTATTCTCTAAGGGAAAAAAAAAAAAAAAAAAAAAAACAACAACAAAAAAAAAAAACCAAAACAAAACAAAAAAAAAAAAACAAAAACAAACAAAAAAAAAACACAAAAGAGCAAATTGAGAAAAATAAGCTTCACAGTATTCACTGTTCATTATGTAAACTGAAATGAAACTTTGACAACTCCCCCCCACCCAGAAATAATTCTCATATAAAATATGTAACAAAGATGAGAAGCCATCAAAAGGAGTTACATGTTTTCATAAAAGTAGTGGAAGAGTATGTCTGCAGCCTTGGGAAACATAACTGCAGCATAGTGTAGAGATACCTGAGCTAGTTTTAATCAAATAGAGACTTTTAAGAGGGTAAATGATCCCAGCAGTGAACATAACACTACCTGATCTGACTTCTTTGGTAGCTATATGATATCCAGCTTTCCATGTAATTTTCAGAGTTGTTAAGCATACGGGTTCCTTGTCTTCTGTGTGTGCTTACAAAACATTTTTGTAGCTTTACATATATCAAAGAAGACAATGTAAAAACTATTCATATCCAACATGAAATGTATTAGAACCTCAGACAGTTTTTATTTTATTTCTTAACTGTCATTTCAATGCGGGACCAATTTGTAAAAGTTTCCTTCTTTTTACATTTTGCAGGGTACTTACGCAACAGTTTATAAGGGGAGAAGTAAATTAACAGAGAACCTGGTAGCTCTGAAAGAAATCCGCCTGGAACATGAAGAGGGAGCGCCATGCACAGCCATAAGAGAAGGTGACAACCTTTTCACTACTTGGAATATCAGATACTTCTGGATTTCTTTTTGACCGGGGTACTTTTGGTACTTGGAAACACATAGGCTATGTGGGAGATTAATGATTTTGGTATCAGTTTTGATGAGGAAAATTTTTGTCTAGACATATTAAGAGTTAGTGTTTCAAATATATTCACTTTAGGGGGGTGGTTGTGTTCTCAAATGCAGTGTTATAAACGGATGATTTTATACTGAATTAGACTATTATTAATGAGTAACTTTCAGGGATTCAGAATACATTTTAGTAAATGACTATTTCTGCCTGAAATGTATAATTTAGGAAGTACTTTAAGTTTGTTACTCAAATGTCTTTTTGGTGTTTTGTTTAAATACCTTGCTTACTAACTTAATCTATGAGAGTATTATGTTCTTAAAAATACGTTTTTAATGGGAAACAAAAAAAAGCAGCTTATATGTATGAACTTGCTAGAAATGCATTTTCTGCTCATGTGTTTTGCTTTTATTTTATACTTACAATTCTCTTTTGCAGTGTCATTATTAAAAGATCTGAAGCATGCAAATATTGTTACATTGCACGATATTGTGCACACAGACAAGTCTTTGACTCTTGTTTTCGAATATCTGGTAAGTGCTTAAGCAACTAGCAAGCTTTACATTAAATTTATTGTTTCTAAGTAGCACAGACATAATAAAACTCCGTACCCTTTTTAAAAATACTTGGGCTGCTACAGGTTTCTCCTGCATCTAGAATCATTCAACTGAAAATGAAAAGTGTATTCAGTTCTTAAATTGCTGTAAAGTAGTAAATACTGTTCTGATCATTTCAGAGTTTTATTAATAGCAGCTAGTGGTGATTTACCTGAGCAAACTGTTTACTCGTACCAAAATTGTTAACGGTAAAAAAGGATAATCACATTATTATTCAAATTATATTTTTCTGTTGTGATGCAGGTTAGCTAAAGAAAAAAGTATACTTCCAACTAAACAGCACGTTCCATCTTTTTGTAACAATCTTTTCAAGCAAGTGTCCACAATTATATACCGCACTTGCTCACCCCTTGCATTCTAGACTTACCACTTTCTCACTGAAATTTTACCTGATGATATTTTCATATAATATGCTGGAATATATAAACATAGTAAGAGGATTGGAGGAAAAATTTTACTTCAAATGTAATTCAAGAATATAGCAGTTTCATGAAATACTGTGCCACACACAAGATAGTGGAGAAGGCAATAACAAATAATGTTGCCTGAGATGATGCAGCTTGCTGGAAAACATGTGAGTTTATAACCTCTGGAAAGCCAGAGTTTTCTGCATGTTCAGGCTTTTGGGTTTTTTATCTTTAAACATCTCCTGCAGAAAGCTCAGTTTTCTGATGAATTACTTCAGTTCTCACAATAAATATTAATCACGTAATCTGTTGTCCACAATTTTACTTAATAATGATGATGGTGTTTTGACAGGACAAAGATCTGAAGCAGTACATGGATGACTGTGGTAACATAATGAGTATGCACAATGTAAAGGTGAGTGTTTTTAGTGACAGTGAGTGTCTTCCAGCTTCCTCTGCTGTAAGAATTTCAGAGAACTTAATCAGGAGCTCTCTGGCTTTTGTGTTTTGTTTTGAGTTTGTTTTTTTTTTTTTTAATTTAAAAATGTAACTTCCTTTTTGACCCCTGAGCCTGGCTTAACTACATTTGACATCAGATGGAGTCATTCTTTTTGGTTTTGATGGCTTTTAAGTGTTTTAAAGCACTGAAAACAGGAGATTATATAACTTTCTATGTTTTCGTTCTCTTCCAAGTTATAGATTTAGAATTAAAAATTTCCTAGTAAATAATACATTCATAACTCTTGACCTCTTCTTGTCCTTCCATTATTTTATACTCAGTTATTAAGTCTGTAGTTTGGTATATCCTCATATAAAATTTATATATGCACGCTGAGAACAATGTAGCCTCAGTCATGAATGTGGGTTTGGATGCCACTGCCTGCCACAGAAGTAAGAAATTAAAAATACATATTTAAGAATGAGTGATGTTCATCTTTCCATTAGTATTAAAATGGAAATTATTTTCTTTAAGGCTTAATTGTCTGTTCCTTTTAACTATGGCTGTGGCCAGGTCAGGTGACTCAGTTTCCAATCTGGCCTGCTAAAACTAACTCAGGTTCAAGTGTTACCTCTCTTGTAACAAGCAGGTTTTGATTTGGAAAACTGGAATAACTCTTTATGTTCTTTAATACTTATGGCTTTATAAACACTTCCAGAGGACAATACTATCTTGAACTGAATGAAGTTGTCCAAGGAGGCTGGTTTACCAGTATCATCCTGCTGCGTTGCAGCCTGTGCTGGACTGTACCTTCAAAACCTCTTCAATAAGCCATACATAATTCATATAAGGGATGTTATTTGTATGGTAGATGTGTTTGAGAAACTCTTCCATGTCTCTCTAAAAAAATTAATTTTAAGCTGTGATCAAAAAGAACAAAACTATGAGTGTGCACACATGGTAGGAAAATTACTTTTTTTCTTATACAGTAGCTCATAGCACAAATGTGGTTGGCAATACAGTGTACTAAATACTGTGAAGTGGTGGGCTTGGTGTGCATTCCAGTGGAGTTGTCATCCTTGGTTTTGGCTTGGTTGCATGTTGTCTGTTCTTAGTTGAATTTGAATATGGGATTCAGTCTAGATTCCAGTTACTGTTTGATTAGCTTTTTCTTTTATTCTGTTGCAGCTTTTTCTTTTTTATTCTGTTGTCATATTACAGTAAATAACTCTAGGGAAAGTCATCTGCCCTTAACCTACTCTGTTGCTTCCTTTGAGAATTTGCAAAGGGAAATTCTTTAATTTGTATCTACTTCAGAGAGACAACAAAAAACATAGTTACACTTGTGTTGTTAATTAACTACAAGTTAATAAGTAGTACTTTAAGCTTTTTTTTTTTTTTTTAGAAAGCTCCAAGGAAGCTGGCTCCTATAGTAAGTGCAGTTAGAAAACAAGCAGAGGAACTGTTTTTCCTTGTTTGTCTATGGTTTAAGCTATGCCCTAAGAGCAGATTTATACAGTCAGTACCTTTGACACTGTGAAACCAGAACAGCTGCTTAACTGTGATAGCTGTAGGTGCTTACTTTACAATAACTGTGGGGGTTTGGGTCATTATTAACATTTAAGACACCTCCCTGTCATCACTCCCCTCACATTCCTCAGCTAATTTTACTCTTTTGAGTTTTAACGAAATAAAGATGTACAATATAAAGATGTGTGTCATCTCTACAGGTGCTACTGTTTCAAACAAAATTTTGAGCTAATACATTATTGTCCTGTGTGTTTCCAAAGGATCCCTGCCAACTGCGGTGAAGATCCACAATTTCTGTAGAAAAATCTGCTTTGTCTTTTTGACTAATCTTTGCAGTCCCAGTGTACACCACAGCAGTCTTGTTAGTATCACTTGGGACTGACTATCCTTGCAACAGGATGGACATGAGTAAATGGAACAAAACTTGTTGCTTCTCATTCTGCTCTATAAAAAGAAAAGAAAGAAAGAAAAAAATTGATCCCAATTCCTTTTTTCTAGAACAAATGTATCCCACGTAAGCAGACTGAGAACAGATGGATGTAACTATACCTGCTGTGTATCTGTCCAGTTTACCAAAAAGAATTTGGTGGTGCCACTTGGTACAAAAATAAACTGATGTGTTAGAAAATGATCATATAGAACATTCTAGTGTTTCTCCTCAAAAGTCCTGTTACATGCTGAATTTGCCACATTGACAAACATTGGTAAATATCCTCAGACAGTGTAGATGAGGAAATACAGCTCAAAACAGAGCTGTAATGCTCTGGGTTTTTTTTTTTTTCATTGTACATTTGATCACCTATACTGGCTGAGGACTGTTGGTGTGGTAGATGCCGGCAATGGCTACCCAGAAGTCCCATGTTCAAGATCAGACCCTTTATACATACAAAAACTGCAAAATAGCAGTTCTTAATGCAATGATACAGTAAATTTGCTTGGCTGCCTTCTGCTAAACCTTTCTTTATCCCTTACTACTTTTATGTCTATATATGTGCAGCATTAATATGCATGACAGAAGTTGCTTGCTTGGGTTGCTGTTCCAAAGGACTGAAATAAACCTGTGTGTGTCAAGGTGAGGGGATGAATATAAATGCCAGAGGCAGTTGGGCTGTTTTAGCAATACTCATTTCCCTATTTTTCCATGTGTTGTGAGCTTGTGAATCCAAGTGTATTTTTCCAAGGCATACCAAAACGTTCTTTGCATAGTTTTGCACAATTGATTAGAAAGGATGCTGAGCTCTGTTTTCAGAAGGAATTCTGTGGCAGAAGGGAATTTAAAGGTAATAGTCTCTGACTATACTCAAAGACATTAGTGTGGGGAAGAGCATTAGTAAGTGCTTACTTAAAAATAAACAGCCCTGTGGTTCTCTTCAGTTAAGCAGAACAAACTGCTCTTAAAAATCTTTGTTGTAAAGTATCGTGTTAAAGCAGTGCATTAGCATAAAGGGATTTTAAATCTGTAAACAATAATGATGATGTTCAGAGTGTGTTCCTATGGAAAAGTAACTTATTTTTGAGAAATATTTTTGTCCTGCTTACAGTACAGACACTTAACTCTACAGTGCCCAAATGGACTGTTACAGTTGTGTAATCTGTAGATGAACATTTTTAGTCTAATTTATATAAATGTTCTCTTTTGTAGCTATTTTTATACCAGATTCTTCGTGGTTTGGCATACTGTCATAGAAGAAAGGTATTACATCGAGATCTGAAGCCACAAAATCTACTAATTAATGAGAAAGGAGAACTGAAGCTTGCAGACTTTGGTATGGCCTCAAATTATTCTGTAACAAATATTTTCTTCACTCAGCAAGAGAGAGGCATCTTTCCTTATAAAGGAAAAATGAGAACATCATGTCTGTAGTGAATTGGTGTGTTCTGAGATGGAAAATGAAAGTCAGCCTTTTACAGGATGTTCGTAATCAAAGTAATACATGTATAGGTAATACTGTTGCTTGACTTGTGGTTTGAAAGTAGCCTTACAGCTTCATGTGGAATTGACACGTAGTCAGATCCTTAAAGTGGAGCTCAAGTTGCTTTTCTTAACACACCACAGTCACTCCAAAGCAGAGTGACCATGGTGGGAGACAGAAAGGGTCTGTCCGTGTGCTGAATTGCCAGGTATTACTCCATCACTGATACACCAAGTTCCTTTGGGATTTCCAGTAGACTGGGGCATTCACGGTTTCCTGTTACCTTCTGTGTCAGGAAGGTCCTTTGAAAGTTGTGCTACCATTGTGTTTTTTCCCATTGTGTTTGAATTACTCAGAAGATTGCCTCTTACATGACAGACCTAAATTTTATTGAAGATACTAGTGAAAAACTGACAATATTAGGATGGAAAACTCTTGCTGATTCAACACTGATTTAGTCTGCTTCCACTGTTTCATTATTCATTTGTTGCCTTCTGCCTTTTGAAATGTAATTCTCAAATGGAAATAGTGCAGAAGGGTTGTCATGGGGGGAGGTGTTGTATTTATCTAATGCTTTATTTTATTGAAATTAATAGAATTACTCCAGGTTTTGATCTGTTTGCCTGTCATCTATGCTTAGAAATGCTGATCATGAGATTGCTGTAACTACTAAGAGGCAATTTACAAGTTGTAGAAATGTATTTATTAGGGCTTTTTACATTAAGGGAAGATATTTAGCAAATATAAGAAGGTTGATTTAGCTCTTAAAAATTATTTGTCAATTTCATGCTGTCATGGCTTGAGCTCAGAAAGCAACTGAGCACCATGCAGCCGCTCACTCCTCCCTTCTCTCCCAGCGATGAGAAGGGACAAAATAAGCCAGGCTTGGGATTTGAGATAGGACCAGGAGGGGTAGGTCACCCATTATGGTCATGGGCAAAAGGCAGACTCGTTAGGGGAAGAAAAAAAAGAACATAGCTTTATTACAGACACTAACAGAATAGGACAGTGAGAAGCATTGCCACGTCTTGAGAACACCTTCCCCTCACCCCTCCCTTCTTCCCGGGCTCAGTTCTCCTCCCAGTATCTCTACCTCCTCCCCTCAGCTGTGCAGGGGCAGGGAATGGGGGGTGCAGTCAGTGCTGCCACTTCTTCCATCTCTGGTGGGGGGAGTTTGTGGAACTTCTCCCCCTGCTCCATCGTGGTCCCCCTCTCACAGGAGACAGTCCTCCACAAACCCTCTCTGACATGAGTCCCTCCCACGGGCTGCAGTGTTTCCTTACAGTGCTCCGCCGTGGGACACCCCCACATGCTGCAATCCTCTCAGCACTGAACTACAACAGCAGGGCTACATTTTCCCACAAGACCCCAGCCTTCTTTGAGCACAGCATCTTGATCAGCCATGCGAAAAACACAGTCCGTAAATCAGTGTCTGCTCCACCGTAGATCTTCATGGGTGGCGGGGGGGGCCGCCCTGCCGTCTCACCACAGGATACAGGGGGGGTCTCCACTCCAGCACACCTCCCCCCTCCTTTCTTCTGTTCCTCCACTGACCTTGGTGTTCACACAGCTGTCCAACTCCTCCTCACAAGTCCCACTGCTCGTCACCACATCCCTTAAATACATTATCGCAGAGGCGCAGCTGATTGGCTCAGTTTTGGTGCAGAGGTGGAGCTGACTTGGAGCTGGGGGAGCTCTGAGAAGCTTCTCACAGGGGGCCGCCCCTATAGCCCCCTCCCCTGCTACTAAAAACCCCACCACTCACTCAAACCCAGGACACGTGCAAAAAATATTTCTGCAAGTTGTACATGACTCTTTATTTCCCTTTTTATCAAGGATTGGCTAGAGCGAAGTCTGTTCCTACAAAGACTTATTCCAATGAAGTTGTCACGTTATGGTACAGACCACCTGATGTTCTCCTTGGATCCTCAGAGTATTCAACTCAAATTGACATGTGGTTTGTATAGCTTTGTCTAATTTCAATTTTTGTTCTCAGTGAAGTTGAAAAAATGTCAAATCTTCCCTATTACATAGTAGCATTCAAATACTCATCCTCTGAATTTTTGAAGGCTACAACTGAGTTAGATTTATAAACAAAGGATTGGCAGACAGGGAAGATGCTATTATTTCTCTGAAAATGAGGAGTACCTTTATTGCTTAGAGTAAGCAGGCATTAGGCCCACAGGGATAGAGAAAAAACCCCAAATGTGTTCTCCTAATGACATGATAATGTGGTATTTTACTATGAACTTTAATACAATTGATAAACTTGACATCTAAAGGAAGAGGATATAATACAGCTCTGAAATAGATTTTGTTTCATCTTTGACAGTTCTATTATTACTCCATATCTTTCAAAACAATATTTTTAGTGTGTTAGCATGTGGCTAACAACTAATTTAATAATTTGTATTAATTGAAGACATATCACACAAGTCTTTAGGAGCTGAAAGCTTAAATTGTTGGATTGTTTCTGTTTTATCTTTTTCTCTGTTTTTATAAAGGGGTGTCGGATGCATATTTTTTGAAATGGCATCAGGAAGGCCTCTTTTCCCTGGCTCGACTGTCGAAGATGAACTGCACTTAATTTTCAGACTTCTGGGTAAATGGATACTTCTAGCAGTAATGTTAATGCTATATGTTGGCTCTTCTAAACGCTTTTTCCATTAGAACTGTAGATCTTCAGCTGTAAACAGTGATATTTCGTATTACATTGTAATTAAGGTGAATGAATGTACTCTTGATGAAAAATGATTGAGCTGAGTGCACAGCTGAGTTTGTACAACATAGACTCACTGACTGATTTTCTTTCTTTTCTGCTTAAATTACAGGATTAAACACTTATATATGTCAAAGTTGTTTCTTTACATTTTTTTTTTGAGTTGAATTTGTTGCTTTTTTAAAATACAGGAACCCCATGTCAAGAAACATGGCCAGGCATTTCTTCCAGTGATGAATTTAGAAACTACAACTTTCCTAAGTATAAACCACAACCCCTCATCAACCATGCACCACGGTACTTTATGTTTTATTAATAGAAAATATGTATCCCTGTGGCTTTGCAGATTTGTAAATGTGAACGTGCTTCCAAGCAGTCTGCTACTAAATGCTGGAAAACTACCCATCAGTTTTGTTATTGTGGGCAGATAGTAATGCAAAGCATAATCCTGGTACTGTGCGATTACTTTGATATCGTTCAAGGTACCACAGCTCCTTCATGACCTGTACAACTATAAATTCTGATTAACAGCACTTGCATAGTAGGAGTATTCACACAGTACTTCCTAAATAACCCAAATTTTCTTCTGTTATATAATAGGCCCATTGTTAAAATGGCAAGGTTTCCTTGAGCAGTCCCTTAAAATCATTCTAAAACCATTATGAGGAATTTGGAGGGTCTGCAGAGTTGTTATAAATAAGCTTTATAACAAAGAGTACAACATTTTTTTATCAACTCTGAAGAAAAAGATCTAACATTCTGTCCTTCTATTAAATGAGTAATGTTAGGCTTAAAAAAAAAAAAAAAAGAAGAGCTTTTTTGCTGAAAGAAATGATCTGTGTCAGCTTAGTAAATCACAATCCAAAGCCCAGTGTTTTTCAAATGATCTTGTTCTGAGATATTGGTACTCGTATGTATACACATCAACAAGCGGAGCCATTGTTTAGGTGGAAGCATTTCGATGTTGAAATTTAATTTTTAGGTTTGATATCATTTGATGAAGTCAGTTCTCTGCAGTGTTTGTTTTGTAAAGATAGTTCAATAACTTTTAATTTTAAATATTTTTATTTTTAGGCTAGACACGGAAGGGATTGAATTGATAGCGAAGTTCCTGCAAGTAAGATGTGTTTTGTAGCTTTACTTAATAAAAATGCAAGTTTAGAATTTTAATATATTATTTGCAGAAAGTATTAGAAGCTATAGTATCTGTTAGATCCGACTCAAAGTGGAATATGCACCTGAGTGTGTAGTGGATGACAGATTTGGAAAGAATAACAGTTTGGGGAAGCCTCTGTACTATAAGAATTTAAAGCCTGGTGTTTAATTATTTTTTTTTCCCCAGAAGTGATTTCTTCTCTTACTACTTTTTGCAAAAATAGAATTGATTCTATGTTAGCAATTCCCTGAAAACCTAAAACTCTTGTGAAATAAGTTGTTAGAACAGAACTTTTAAATACAAATACTAAATTTCTGTAACAGTGACCTTAGCTTACTACTAGAGAAGCAGTTACTTAGGTGTAATATTACTCTTTGATCTTGCAAATTATATTTAGACTGTGGTGTCTGAGGTTCCATTTTCTGCAAAATGCTGCAGCGTAGTCCACTGAATTAGAAAAATTTTGTGATCTCATGTAAGAGCACTTCATTGCAATTTATTATTAGAACATAATGTAGACAGAAGTTTGTCATCCAATCATTGTGACATCTATAAATAAAGATTAAGTATATTTTTGACTTGCATCCACTTACAGCAGTTATTTTGACTATTTCAGCAATCTTGTTATATGTTGATAATACTCATTTAGATAACATATGTTAGATTTTTCCTGTGTGAAATAAATGTAATGAAAACAAATTTGTCCTAGTGAATTAGTGGGAAATACCAAGCAAGTAGAACAATATTTCTCCCTTTGATTACATCACTTGATGCAAAGAGTTTTTTAATGAAAACCAACACACTTGCATCCTTCTATGTTAATAGTATGAATCAAAGAAGAGAATTTCAGCGGAAGAGGCTATGAAACATGCGTACTTCAGAAGTCTTGGAACAAGAATACACACCTTGCCTGAAAGTAAGAGGAGTAGTAAACTATTGCTAAGATAGTACATTAAAACTAAGTACATTGCTTAAGGAAAAACTTTCGACTCAAATCTGTTAAAGAAGTCTGGTATATACTGACTTAAATAAAGTTTAGCATTCCTAAATATTTATCTAAACTGTATAATTAAGGATAGAACTTTGTTCAATAAAGCAAAGTTGTGTTTAGATATTAATTAATTTCTTTGTTACAGGTGTTTCAATATTCAGTCTAAAAGAGATTCAGTTGCAAAAAGACCCTGGCTTTCGAAATTCCACTTACCCAGAGACAGGTATGGAAAGCTTAATATTTTCTCCTATCTACAAACGGAATACTGTGCCAGAGACATTCAGAACTAAAAAATGCTTTCTTAAATTGCTCTGTGTGAATGTACTCAAACAAATCCCAAGACTTATTTGCTCAGATTCCTGTAGAGACATAGAAGCTAAGCGCACAGAAGGAGGTGAGTTTTACTCGGGATGGGCAGAGGAACTGTTAATATGAGACTGTCTTGGGGTTTCAAACTGTGACTGTGTGGGTGTTGAATGGTGGCAAAGTTAAAAAAAAAAAAAATAAATGCAGTAAGTGCAGTTAAAAGAAAGATGCTGATATTGGTTTAAGCACAGAGGATATTCTCTTGAAACAGAAAGATGGTGTAGATAATAGCTGAATACTCTGTTGTGCAAATGCTTCAGTTTTTTACCATGGTCCATGTTCTGTTGTAGGACATGGGAAGAACAGAAGGCAGAGCATGCTTTTTTAAAGCGGGCGATGCAGAGTCGAGCCCAAGCCTATCCTACCAGTCAAGGACTCGGATCTGAAGGCAGTGCTCTCTCTTGGTGGACTGGGAATCACAGTTTGTCTACACTGTCCTCTTCACAGTGGAGTCTTTTTATTTCCAACCTGCAGATTATGTTTTTATATTTGTTGTCACAGTGTGACAATTTTTTGTACAGTTGGTTTTAAGGTCTCCTCTGCCACTAGAGCCAGTAGGTTACAGCTGTTGATGTAACTGTAGCTGCAATTTTTGTGCAGGACTGAGAAACACAGTGCATTATTTATTGCGGAATCATTGCTGCTAAATAACTACTGTCTGTATAGTTAACACAACAGTTCCATGCCTGAAGAAGTTGCAATGGCTTTATAATATGTGAATGCATCTGTTTCTCTTCATAAAATGTTCTACTGCTGCGGGGTTTTTTTGTATTTCTTAAACTGCAGTGTTTCCTGGAATGTAAACATAGCTTTGCTTGGCTATAGGTGAACCATCTTTAATGCTCTAAGTTCATGGCACTTAATTCTTTATTTAACATTGGAAGTATGTGTTGAAATAGTTGAAAAATTATAATGCATATTATGTTTTTGAAAAGCACATGGTGTGAAAGTTGATTCAAACAAGTGAACAGTAACTATTGTTTGCTCTCAGATCCTGTGTTACTTATTGATAAATTAGAGCATGGGGACTGGATGATAAATTTTGTCAAGCTTACTCCAGCATAAGATATTTGCACGTTGTTGTGCATATGGGGCCTGCAGAAGCAATGACTTTTTTATCTTGTTTTTAACTTAGAAATACAAATAGTAAAAAGATGATTCATAATATGTTGGACCCTGGCTTACTTTTGAAATTTAGAATTTCATTACAGAGGAACAGGACAACTAATTACAAGAACATGGGAATAATGTCACACTTTTCCCACCTTGTTGCTCTCCCATTTGTGCATTATTCACTTGAAATCAACTGAAAAGGTGCAAGTTTGTACTTGGTAAGAACTCACTATACTACAGAGCTTTTACAGTGGGAACTTAGAGAGTTTTTCAGATCTTAGATGTTATCTGTTTACCAGAGATAGTAAACATGTTACTACTATGCTTATGCATCTCAGTGAGTATCATAAGTACACCCTTGGTGATGGTTACAGTATTTTTAAGCATTTGTGTTCACCTTTATGAACCTATTTGTTTAGTGCATCTTAAAGAGACTGTAAATCTTTATTGGTATATTTTGAAATGGTCATGTAAATCTTTGGCTGGTATATCATGAAAATAGTCATAGATAACTTAATTTTTCCTGACATTCACTGTAAAACATTCAGGGGTCCTACCATTTCTGTTCAGGAAATCTTGTAGTTTATTGTTATTTAACAGTATTAAGTGAATTTTTGTATATTTCATTTTAACTTTATTTGTGAATAGTGATTGTGGCATGTTTGGGGGTGTTTTATTAATATTTCATTGATACTGGTAAATTTGAATTGGGAATTTTTTTTTTTTATTTTCTGGAAGAGAGAAATTCATGTGTAATGGTGACTATTGGACCACTACTGCTTTTCAGCATTTGTAAACCGGTTTTACGTTAAATCTTGTAGACCTAACAAACTGCTGTTATTTCTAACTGACCGAACTGTATTAATATTGTACTTTTGAAAGTATAAATATTATGTGGAATTCTTCGGTTTTGTTTTGAAATTTATAATAACAAAGGCCCTGTGTTGTTAAAAATACAGACTAAGTGAACTTGCGGTTCTTGGGGCGTTGTTGGAAATGTTGAGCTAGATCTGTGTGTCGTGGGAGTCATCAGTTTTAACGTTGGCCGCTTACTAATTCATGCAACGCAGGAGCAGTGGCAGTGAAAAGTAATGTGGCTCATCTGCGACTGAGGCCATTCAGGATCTTACAGGAAACGTGGGCCGTGGTCTGATTTTTAGCCAGCAAGTCCGGCGTGTCTCACGGTATCAGAAGCCTTGCCCGGGTCTAGGAGCATCCTGCGTGTCTCGGGTGCACGCGAGGGTCTCCCACTGCTGCCAGCGGGAGCGTGGTGTGTGTGTCAGAGGCAGATTTGGCACAGATGGAAAACCTTTGTCCTGAAATAGTAGTTATATATTTTTTTATAGTTGCTATGGATCTGATCTAGATTTTATACTGATTAACTTTGTAGGGAATACGTTGTAGATGTGATGGTGTTGAAGAAAGAAGTATCAGAAAAACATCAGTTTTTTTACAAAAGTAGTGAAGATACAGAGGAAATGTTGACTGTGGATAAATGTGGGATTTAGCATTTCTAGAACAGTAATATTTTATAGGTCATAAAAGAACAAGTAATAATGTGGCACTAATGAGGAAAGGACTTAAAGGTTTAACTGGTAAAATGAAGTGCATTAACAAATATAGAAGGGGATGAGCTGCATCTAACGAAAGGATGTTTCCATTTTAAGTAGTAATTCAGGTTTTTTGTTACAGATGAAAAGACCTTCCATAAAAGTAAAGCACTCTGTTTATAAAGAGATTTTTCTAAGGACCTGCAAGTGAGTCGGTTTGCTTCGTTAGGAGGTAGCTTTAGGAGGTAGCTTTAAAGAATGTATTTCTTAAAAAAACTTGGCATCTGTGCTCAAGCCAGTTTTGGGTTGGGTTTTTTTTCTTGTTAAAATCATCTATAATTGAAATTCCTGCATCAGCAGAGACAGTTCTGTGGCAGCTCCCTGTTTGGGGCAGTAGTCAGCAAATCTGAGGTCGCTGGGCATTTCTCTGACACCTTTTTCGTGCAGTGCAGCGTTCTGCCTCCTGTCTGACAGCACCGGGCACTGCCCACTTGCTTTCACTGGCCCCGAGAACTGTAGGGAGTGTTGGCCTTTTGGGGAGACCACCTCAACCGTGGCGAAAACCAAACAGACAGTCACTGGAATGGATGACTTCCGAGATGTGGTACGACAGCCTTTGCTTGAAGATGAGTGGTCAGTTAATGAGAAGTGGCCCGCAGGTTGTTGCTGAGGAAGTAATTCTTTTCCGAAGCTCCCCGGTGTATCCCGTCTAGCCCGGGGTAAGGGTGTGGAGGTGCGTGTAGGAAATCGGGTGGGTTTGAAGGCAGGAGAGAGGCAGGAGGTGCCGTGGGTGCGTGCACACGCAGGCGGAGGTCGAAGGGGAGAGAGGGGGGGTGGAGGACGGGGGTTGGCAGGACAGAGCAGGAGAGGAGAGGGGGAAACCGGCTGCTCAGCAATGCTCTAGTGGAACTCGCATCTCAACACAGCTGTGTTATTTTTGTGCTGCTTTACCACAGCATTAAGTAGCCAGAGTGTATCCCTGAATTGGGCAATAAAAGTTAAAATAAACAATTATTGAAGAATCAACATACTTTGTATTTGCAAATCATTTGAAAAACTGCAAGGTAGCACTCTTTGGGCTGCTTGCTTGTTGTCTGCGCATTGACTTTTTCCGTGTAATAAAAGGTACGTTGTTTCTGTTTTGCAACGTTAAGATGGAACTAAGGTTAAGAATACATTCAGTCACCGAGGACAAAATATATGAAAGGTACCTTGTAAATATCCCCTAGCTAAGTATTAAAAACCCAGGAAATACCCGGAATTAAGGTCAGATTTGAAAGAAATCTAAACAAATTAGGGTATGGAAATGCACAGCTATAGCACGTAATGACACTGAAGAAAAATTAGAACTTAGCTTGTCTGTAACAGCATGTGGTCACAGACATGATCATTTTTCTGGACTTTAATGGGCAGAGTTGAAATAATTCATGCACCTTTGTTACCACGTTTCAATACCTTTTTTCCCTTAGTAAAGTTCGGCTTTGAAACAAATACAACATTTCTATGAAATTTCTTAATCTGGGGGAGGAATTTGAATGTGTACTTTTTACAGTTTGTGGTTTTTTAATTTTATTTTTTTCATCTGTAGACTGGGCTGTTAGAGATTTAGTGATACTGTTTGGCCTATATGTCGGTCAGCAACATCCATGTCAGACCAATTTAAGAGATTGACAAGATAACAAGTATAGATCATGAAACATAAAGAAAGCACTGTACAAGTGTTTAGCTAATTGGTACGTTGCAAAGTAAGCTCTGGCTGTATAGGTAGGATGATTTTGAAAAGTATAAAAGCCACATAGATAAATGAGCTTTATAATTCATACCATACAGCCTCTTAATCTGTGGAGTTCAGCTGCACAGAAATCACACTCTTCTTCTAGGCCACAGTGGAAATTCGTGTTGTCAGAACTGGGATTAGAGTTTAGCTATTCTAGATTTTTTTTTTTTTTTTTTAATCTTTTGTGTGTGATTTTCACTGGGCTGTACTCTGCCTGTCTCATTAACTGAAAGAAAAAGATTGATGTCAGTGGAAAAACATGTACATTACAATTTTCCATTATTTTCACATACTTTCTAAAATCCCTTAACTCATTTAAGTTCTGTAATTTTTGAGCCAACTTAAACTGTGAATGCACACATATGCACACACTTACTGTTGTAAATAGCTGCTTGATTTGTTGTCCTGGCTGCATCCTCCAAAATCCCTTAAGAAGCACGCCTGCCTGAGCAGATTGCTTTTATGGTCTTCCTTGTGAAATACAAGCCTTGTTCAGCTCAGATGCCATATCTTGAAATACATTTTTCCCCAGAGGGCTGTGAAGTTCCTTCATTTGTTGCAGTGGGACCTTCTTGCTGATGGAATTGCTGTCGCTGTGGGTTGCAGGGCGGGGGGAATGCTCTTCCCTGTCCCCTCTCCAGCCTGCTCTTGCGGAGCACCTCCCTCCAGGCCCCGCGTGGCAGCGTCGGTGCTGCCTGCTCCTCCTCTTTCACACCCTGAGCTTGTTTTTTCAGAGACTTCTTTTCCCCTCTTCCATGTCCTTTTCCTTAATTCGTAGGAGGCAGCTGGCCTGGAGCCATGTTTGGAATAAAGGTTACATTTATCCACTCACACTTCTTGCAGGATAAACATGAGCTGATGGGAATCTTTCAAGAAAAAAAACAACATATCCTGGAGTCCCCTCTTGTAGGATACTTTTCTACAAATACCACCCCACCCAAGGCAGGCCATGGTACCAACTGCTCCAGAGTCCTTGCCTGAGGTTCATTCTCCTTTTTTCATTTAAGTAAGTTTTTACTCCTCCTCACCAATGCTGTCAATCTCTTTGCCCACGAGAAGTAGGTTTGTATGCCAACTGTGTAGACCAGAGCACTCACATATTGGTAAGACCTGTTACAGTTTGGGGCTGAAAGGGATTTCACAACTTGTCATTTTCTGACGAGTTCATATGGGTATTCTTAAACCTGAGTGACCTGTGTTTGTTTATCCTACAGGATATAGACACAGTCTCAAGATCAGAAGGGAACAGCGATATCCTTAGATAAAAGACTACCAGTACTTAACTGTGCCTTTTCTAAATTCATGTGGTGGTCACGGAGGCTTCTGAAGATGCTTCCTGTAGGCACAAGATCACACAGCCTCCTTCTGTAGAGACTTGTTCTCTTAAAATTAAATGCTATAGTCTGTTTTAAAGGACCATCTCCCCTTTAAACATCTTGTTGACAATTCATTATTTCTTTGGTAGGTATTTCCACATTGGCAAGTGCCTGTCTGATGAGACTAGTTTTATTCAGACAAAACAAATTGTTCTTTGTTGACGTAATGGACCTGTGTCAAATCTTTCTTTTTCTGGAGTTAGTTATCACCCATCACTGTTTTCCCCGCCTTCAAAGTTTTCTTTAGAACTGAAGCCACTTACCTGTGCCAGAGCAGATGACGTGTGCAATCTCTTGGCAAAGCTACCCAGTAGCTGTGGCCTTACTGGTAGATGCTTGCTTTTCTGAATAAACAATGTAAAGGTAAGCAAAAACTAGCCTAATTGTGCACCTAGCCTATATATTGAAAACTTTTTGTGTATTCCTGAAGCATGAATAACGTGTAGATCTATCCCCAAAATCCCTCAGGTATGAACAAATTGCAATTACTGCCAAAAATACTGAAGGAAAGAATAACTCCTGTTTTGTTCCCCAGGATTGTTGGCTTGGAGCTCTCCATGCCACAGAAATATTGACGCTTTCATGGTATTTTAAAAACATTTATTTGATTTTTCTCTACAGTTAAAAAGGTATCAATAAAATTCAATAGAAAATTACCAATAGAATATTTTCTTCAAAGCATAAGGATAGCAATCTAGTGTTTTAGGCAAGTGTTAGACTTGAGGGGCTGGACTTTGCTTGTATATATTCTTCCCAGTAGGAGGAGTTTTTCTTCCACATTATTGACCAATTTGGAAGTTAGAATTCATTTTGAAAACCTGGTTTTTTGAATTGAAAAGTTAACTAGCAAAAGATAAGTTCTATTGCTATTTTTAATTCTCTCAAAGATAAGAAGAGAGCACTACTTTCCTGTTTCTGGGTGTCCTCCCGTTGGTTTTCTTGGTTCCTTTACAGTAATTTGTTGAAATAGATTATTTTTTTGTGTGTGTCAGAATTGCTGTTTTCTGCTATCTTTAAAAGAAAAATTCACTCAAGGGGCAGGACAGTGGGAGGGCAGGGGAGGGGTGTGTGGAGGGGGTGGTGTTGAGATGCATTGAGCCTTTTGAAAAGAAAAAACCTGCCTTATTAGCAAAACCTTGGAAGAAACAAAATGGTGAGAATTTGGATGCTTTTTAAGAATCTCTTCTCTGTCACCCTCTCCTCATGTTCATCTGTTTTTTTGCAGTATGGTATTCAATACTTCTTACTAAGTTGAAGATCAAATTTTCATGAGTATCCATCTTTTACTTTTTAAACTCATAGTGACAAACCCTTCATCTCTGTGCCTTGTTCTCCCATTAGCTGTACTGGCATGTACAAGGCGAGACTCTACTGAAGTAGGCATCCGTGCTTTTTTAAAAATGAGAGTTGGCTCTAGAGTGTGAATAATTGACTCTCTGTAACTTAGTTACTGAAAAATATTCCATGTACCTGAGAGGAATCCATTGAAAGAGAAATATTTGATCTGTGAGCCCGTCTGATTCATCTCCATGAGACTAGTCAATCCCATCAGTTACATGCAGCCTTTTCTTCCAACCTGTTCTGATTTTACTTCGTGTAAGATTTACCTTCACTCATAAATTTTACATAGGTTCATCTTCTGGTTTTGACTCCTTGGGGTGGCACCTCTTGGAGCTCTTAAAATGCTGCATCAAGCGAATGACTTTCCATATGTTTCATTCTTTTTCTCTATGTCTTACATCTAATTGCTCTGTTTATCAGCACTGGTACTTCATACAGATATAGCAGCTTTTTATCCCGTTAATTACTGCAAGTGAAACTGGGGAGTCATTTTTGGTTGTGCAACCCAGGAGCCCGAGGAAAATTCCTGCTGTCTTTTGTCAGACTACCTCTGCCCCAAAAATGGCTTTTCAACAGCAGAACTGCATTAATAAAATGTTTATTTAGCACCTTTCAGGTTGAAGGATCCAAAAGCACTTTACAATTAACTACACACATCATCACTGAAATGCATCCAAGCAGAAAATCAGCAGACAACTCACTGCATAAATTTCAGAAAGAACGGATTTCTGGCCAGCCGCTTCGCCAGAAAGCAAAGTAGAAGCAAACAGGATTCTGATTTTGGTTTGGTTTTTGAAGGTCTCATCTGAAAAACCTACATGGTAAAGCTGCACTCGACCCACCTCAGAAGACTGAAGCTTTGCATCAGCTCTGCCAAGATTAGAATCTGTGGTGCCAGGGAGTCTAGCCTAATCCTAACCTGACATTTAGATGACTAAACCATCACCTCAAGGTAGAGGACATACCCAGTAGATTCAAGTTGCAAGTATATAGTAACACAGTGCTGTTTTTTAATCCAGAATTCAGATGTTTATGTATAAACATCCCGCATGTACAGTATGCCTCTTCACAAGCACCAGGCATTAATTTAGTCCTGTAACATTTCCAACTTTGGGGGAAGGGCAAATGCTGCGACCTTCTGAGCTTTAGTAGCGAGAATAATCGTTCCAGGGAAGTAGTAGAAGGCACTTGGCACGACTGAACAAAGCACCTGGAAATTCTCTATCGGGAATGATCCTCATTCCCTGGGAGGACAGAGATTACCTGCAGTCTTTCCAGCTGTAATGTTGACAGTTCGTAAGAAATATATGCCAAATAAATTCTGAGCAACGTCTCCTTTTCTACAGAAGTATTCTCAAATGCTGGAAATGTCCCATGAGCATACACAGCCCAGTTCCTCCCTGTTGCAACTCAACAGAAGAACTTGGGCGTAAATGTGGCTTTGTTACTCCTAAATGCATCTCCCGACTGTAACATTGGTTACGTTTTTCACTTCAGCAAAGAAAAATTATAAGGCTATTTTTATACAATTT